TTGTCTTTGGCCAGCAGGTCCTTCTGCTGCTCTGCATTCTCCAACATTTGGATGCGCCCGTGCCTCGAAATTCAAGCATTCAATGATGTTCAATGTCAGTGGAAAACCACATGCAAACTTCTGCGCGCAGTCGAGCATCAGGACTTGTTTCTCCTTCTCAAGTGCAACTTTCTGCTGTGCAACACCTTCCAAAGCTTCCATGCGTTTTTTCCTCGGCCAGTTCACTGTTTGGAGCCAAGAAGCTCTTTAGCGAGACTGGCCGATCGAGGGGCTCCCTCTCTCAAAGCCATGAAGAGCATGGACCGTCAGATTTGCTGTCGCACTTACTGTGATTGCTGGGGAGGCCACTGTTGCCTCAATATCTCGATACTTTCCCCTGCTCGAAGTTCTGCCTGCAGGCACATTGCTTTGGCCCTCTTGAATCAGTGGTGCCATCTCATGAGAGCTGTCAACTTCGTCTACAACCTGGACCGAATCAACCTCAGTTTCCTTTGATAGCTCTCCAGTCCTCTTTCAGTTGCCCCTCCAATTCGCAACATTGAGACTTCAACGCAGCAGCTTCATCGAGCCTGCAACTTGAAGGACGCGAGGATTGAGTGAAAGCTATGCGGGGGATTGTGGGGTGGCTTCAGTTCTGATCCCTTGCATGCAAGTGCAGTAGGCAACCAAACCTTCGAAAACATGCTATTGACTACATATTTATTGACAACGAACAATACGGCTCCGTCTGCATTGGCAAAGGTTGATAGATTCGATGGTCCAGGTCGCCAAGCACTTGCCACTGCACTTGCCGCTTCCCAACAGATTCGGATCCACTCTGCCTCTGCTCCAGGCTCTTCATATGCATCTCGCCCATCTCATCTGCGCCTGTCACACTTCAGCCACAACGTCCAATCAACATACTTGTACTTGGTTTGCTAGTAGCATTTGAGGCCACCGCTATTAGAAACAAAGACAAAGAAAAAAGAAACGGAAGAAAGGACTCTAATGCTAATGACGCTCATGCTTCACCCAGCTCGGTGGCTCTTTTCCAGCGACTTTGGGCTGACGACTTGGCAAGTACTGAAAGCAATTGTGCCGAGCTCTGCCGCCACTCTGGGCACCAAAAGAAGCAAATTTGCGGAACAAAAAGGCCACAAGTCTATTGTTGTAGTCCAGTGCCGCCTCTGGCAATTCTGCCACGTGTGCTCTTCACGAAGCACTGTGTGGCAAATCTGTACTGTACACGCTATTCTACGGGCAATTTGCACCCTTGAAGCACCAGAAGGTGGCCCACAAAGTTGGAGGACATGCCATGTATGAGATGAACAGAACTATTCTTCCAAATGCACAGTGTCCCTAAAGCGTTTGTGTTCAGCTACAAAGCCCAAACTCCCAGTGCCATGACGGGGAGCACCCCAAGTCCCCCAAGCCCCAAGCCTTGGGCTGATGAGATGGTGGTGCTCGATGGGCTTGAGTCGACTGTGGGAAGCTCAATCTGAAGTGAGGGTCCAAAATTCTTCGCCGACTCGGCCAAATGGGCCACGGCACTACTCACCCTGGTCCACCCAGATGGGCCCCAGTAGGACAAGTCTCGCTCAGTAAGCGGGAAAATCAAGACTTCTGAGTCTCCAGGCTGAAGAATCGCAGTCTTCTGAAATCCTTTCAGAATGGCCACTGGTTGTTCGGCCTCTGGAGGAAATTCCATGTAGAGCTGGGCCACAGTGCGCGAAGGCCGAGTGCCATTGTTCATCACGGCTGACTTGACACATAAAAGGTAGGAGGTGAATTGGTATGGGCACCTTGGAGGCTTCGCAATGAGGTCAGATGTAGCACAAAGACCATCAAAGAACAAGTGTCCTTGTCTTTAAGACCATTCCCTTTTCCTCTGTTTCATTGAAAAACTTAGCCAACCTTACACCTGTTTCAACACCATATAAGGCTCAACGACGCCTAGGTGCTCTACGATCTGTGCATCCGAGTAGATGAATTGGGAATAGCTCAAGCCATGTCCGAAAGGGAAGGTTGCCTTGAAGGAGGTGTTCCGGTAGCTGGTGGCCAGCCCCTCACTGTACACAATGGTCGCCTCCTCACTTGGGGCTATGGTATCTGCTTCGCTTTCAGGCATCATGATGGGAAGCCGTCCGCTAGGTGAGATGTCTCCAAAAAGGACCGAAGCCCATGCCGATCCTGTCTCTTGCCCTCCCAAAAAGAGCGCAAGAATGCCGCCCACCCCCTCATGCCAAGGCATCAGCACAGCTCCGCAGACCTACAAAGCAGGGCCCTTTCCTACCGTTCCCGGCGTTGCCAGCAGTTCCAACAGCAGGGGGGAGAAACACATTCATGGAATTGATCAACTCGATTTCCCCCCTTTTTGGCCTGCATCAAGACGACGGTCTTAGAAGATACATTGGCCACCGCTGTGATGAGATCATCCCCCTGATTCTCCAGTTGCAAATTGGGCCGGTCCACTGACTCACCACTGGTGGCACCCACCACTACGATGGCCACGTCGGCCTCTGCTGCAGCCTCACGTGCTGCAGTGAGATTGTTGCTTGGGCTGGCGATGACTTCGATGTTCTCCAAGGCCGCCCTGGCACCTACGAACAATTGTGAACGAGGACTTTTCTTGGATTTGCGCAACTAGCAAGTTGATGCAGATTGTAGCATGCCATGTAGCACCTAAACTTAAACAACCACTTCAATCTTCTAACATAAGCATAACCACTGGAGAATCAACGAGAAAAAAAAACATATGGGTAGGATAATTGCACATATAATTAAGCACAATTGAGTTGCTCAAGCCATGCAAGGTCTTGACAACATCTCCGGTGAGGTGACCACTGCCGCCGCCAGAGTAGTAATCACCGGAAAACCATTCCATCCCCAGTCCCTGCCCTGCTCCAGCCGGGTCATAGGATTCACCCACTGCAACTGATCCGATGATGGCTATCTTGCGGATTCCAGACGCATTGGTGATGGGCAAAAGTCCATCCTGGTTCTTGAGAAGAACGATGGATTCAGCGGCAAGGCTCTTGGCCAAGGCTTGATGAGAGGAGCTGGTCACATTCCGCACGAACCATTCTGAACAATTTGGAGGCGAGCAGGAGGACGTCTCAGGCAAATTCACTTTATTCATAGCTGCCAGGATGCGAGTGACAGCATCATCCACACGCTCTGGGTGTCTGGAGGTATTCATAGGACTTAGGAACAATTCAGGTGCCCTGCCCGGCATCTCTTGATCGAGACCCTCAAGGAAAGATGCTTCATGTACAGCCCACCAATCAGACTGAACAAAGCCTTCAAATCCAAGCTCTCCTTTCAATACATCATTCAAGATGTAACTATTGGAGCAAGCATATTTGCCATCCACCTTGTTGTAGGAGCACATGGCACCTCCAACACCAGCTTCAATGGCCGCCTCGAAGGGTGGGAAGTATAGCTCACGTGCCGTCTTCGGATCGACCACGGAGTTCTCAGTGCCTCGGTTGGTCTCCTGGCTGTTGAAGACCCAATGCTTCATCACGGCGAGGACGCCCTGTTGGCGTACTGTGGGGGTCCCAAAAGGAAGATATATAGGTTTTCCCTATTCAGTGAGCATGATGACTCACATGTTACTAACAGATTGTCACAACTAACCTCATATTCATATTCATTCAAAACATTTCAAAACCCTTGCCTGAGACTGAACTCCACGCACGTAGGCTTTGCTTAGCTTGGAACCCAAGTAAGGGTCGTCCCCAGCGAGGTACTCAAAGGACCGACCGTTGCGTGCCATGCGCTGCACCTGCACTCCAGGCCCCAAAATCACGTTCGCACCTTTCCCTCGGAACTCTTTGCCCACAGCCACGGCAAAGTCTTGGACAGCTGTTGGGTCCCAAGTTGCAGCCATTGCCAAAATCGAGGGCCAAACCGTCACTGTCCCCTTCAAGTCGGTCCAATAAGTGCGAAACCCATCAGTGGCATCTTGCATGTTCAGGCTCGGAATTCCAAGTTCTGGCACGGCTGGTGTGTTCCCCACATAGAAAAAACGTGGCAAGTCAAACCACCATTGTGTATCTACCCAGCCCGAGCCTTGGAGAAGGCTAGTCTTTTGTTCCAAGCTCATGAGCTTCACCGTCTCTGCGGCCTTGGCCTTTGCATCTTCCCAAGATAACAACTCTGGAAGCACAGGAGGCTCAGGACGCTTTGTTGGTGCTATGCCATAAGTGCAAGCTCCTGCATAGCTCCCAAGCGCGTCACAAGCGACATTCCATGGGAGTCCACTGGCTGCCCTGGGCCCTGCCATAGCCTCCCCGAGGCACCACCAATCATCTTGGGCATCCAAGGACCAGCAAGCGACGATAGTATCAATGGGGCAGCGATCTGCTGTGAACGTGGGCTTGTTTTTGCACAGGTCCAAATCCAACACCAACTCTACATCCGGCCTTCGGGCGGACTGCCATGGAGGGCCGGGAGAGACGAAGGAAGCTCCAGCGACCCAGGCAGTCGCAAGCTGCCGCCAAACCATGGTGCCAAGTGAAACGAAGACAATAGTTTGAATTGAGCTGTGAGCCTGCGCATGGCATACGGGAAAACAACGGCAGGATATATACTATTTCAAGGGTTTGAGAAGCACCACTGCATAACAACCCCGTCTTGAACAAGACATGACTGACTGACAGACTGACTGATGGCTCAAAGGCAGCCAGAGGCAGTTTTTGAGAATACTTGATCAACAAAGCTCGAAAGAGTCACTAAGCCTTGCAACCGACGCAGCTCGTCTGTCAACATGGCTGATCTGGCACGCTCTGCGGCCAGCTCCTTGGTCAGAGTGCCTAAAAATCATCTAAGGAGGTGAGAAGCACAGGACAATCCTATTGTTTTAATCGCTTATAACTATAACTCTTAGATTTGCGATCCTGGTGCCAACAGCGAGAGATCATGCTAGAAATTGCTAGAACACATCCCTGCTTGACTTGCCTTGGTCCAGAACATGTTGAAACCTGCAAAAGCTCCCTGGCTGAGAAGTGCTTCTTCTAGACTGTAGCAGTGTTCTGACGAAAGGCATGCGTGGTCTATCACAACAACAAAGGCAATAGGGGCAGGCCGAGTCTCTTTAGCAGAGACACTCTGCATCTCTTGCCACACCTTTTCCAACCTGCAGGTGTTGCAAGTACATGAGGCTGCCACACTCTGGCGCTCTGCATCTCTTGCCTTTGCCAAACCTTTAAGTTGGATGAACTTTCTTGGGTCAAGTCATGTTTTGACCGTGACGACTGAGGCCCCAACATGACGTGCATGTGTGAGGTGGTCCCCATTCCCCACTTCCCATTCTTGTGGAATAGCCGGAAACACAAACGGGTGGGACTTTGAACTCAAAACAAGTCCTGTGAAACATTAACAACACAACATATATCACCATGCCATATTCTTCCAGAAAGGCCTGTTGTGGGCGGCAGAAAACTGAACAATTTAAACATGATTAATTCATTTCAGTTTCCTTTTATGTACAGTATTATATATTTATATATTTCTATTTATAGCCTTCATTTCATTTTTATTAAAAAACGAGATGGTTTGTTTTTCCTTTTAAGCATGGCTATTTCCTTTCATTTTCCTTTGCAAAGTAATGAGCAGAATTGATATTCTTAAAAGAAAATGAAAGGAGTTGATCATTGTTTAAAGGGAAAATGCAAGTAGTTTTATTAACGTATCCTTTTTTAACGGATACTGAAAGGAATTGTTACGTTAATCCTTTGTTATTTGTTTCCTTTTCATCTTCTATTCCTAGAGTACTGTCATGTTTTTCCTTTCTTTATTCCCATGTCCAGCTCTATTTTTCTAATTTTGATTCCTATGTTTCCTGAAAAAGTATGTGCTCAAAAGTGCAATCTTTTCATACCCGAGTTCATTTCATTTAGGATTTGCAAGAAACAATAACATTTGTCTCATTTTTCTGCCGCCCACAACAGGCCCCTCTCTATTCTTCCCATGCCGCTTGTTGCTTTGACATCTTGGACAAAGAAATTCCTCTGGGCCGCGGACTCTTCTGCCTCTCGCTGAGCCATCGCAGCAAAGGCCTCAAACATCTCCCGAGCTGCTGTGGATCCGCCGGCCTGATCACCAGGGAATGCACGCTGCTGGAAAACCTCTATTGAGACCCAGCAAGTTGGCACAAGCCACTTCAACATAGATCTTTCTTGAAAAAGTTTTCCCGAAAGCATTGCGAAGGGTTCTTCCGGAAAATCCCTTGAGCACTGACACTTCGACACTTACCCTTACACACTGACACTTCCACACTTGCACTTGAACAATAGCATCCAAGGGTAAGTATGCAAGTGTACGTATCCAAGTGCAAGTATGCAAGTATGAGTATGGAAAGCTTGCAGGGGAGATGTCCAAAAAAACTTGCACGGGAGATGTCCCAATGAAAAGCATTTTGAGAAACATTTCCCCACCTTATAATTTCTCTCTTAAAGGCGGAGGGTGGGACGAACAGCGTCAACCGAAAATGCAGCCCTCTGCGGAGATCGTGCGTGTTGAGCGCGCGAAATGCAGGCGAGAGTGCGATTTGTCCGGTGTGCGCGCAACCCTCTGCGGAGATCGTGCGTGTCGAGTGCGCGAAATGCAGGCACTGGCGACTTTCTAGTACTATTTTAGTACGCGGAGCATGTGGGGAGCTGGAAGATGAGAATCTGGGGAGCTGGAAGATGAGAAGTACGCGGAGCAATCTGTGGAGCTGGAAGCTGAACGCGGAGTATCTGGGGAGCTGGAAGATAACTGGCGACTTTGTAGTACAACTTTAGTACGCGGAGCAATCTGTGGAGCTGGAAGCTGAGAACTGGCGACTTTGTAGTACAACTTTAGTGCGCGGAGTATCTGGGGAGCTGGAAGATGAGAACTGGCGACTTTGTAG